ACGACAGGCCTTCGCTTGATTGAAATTTAATTTCCGTAAAACTCTGAAAAATAAAGAGATCCGATCAAACAGATTGTGGTTTTAGTATAGGTACATGAATGTCTTACAACACACAAGAAATGAGCTAAATCTGTGTCTCAAGCAAAATCGACCGGACCGCTCTTACAGAGACACTCTCTTAAAAGCTTAGCTGAAAATATGTGAATGCAGCAGAAATAATCAGCAAAGTGACGATGATGCTGTCTTTAATCAACTGGAATAACAATTTCAATTTTGTTGATCGAGTCATCAAAACTCCATGTCTATTTTATTTTCGAAGTGTAAAATTTCACTATGTTGAAGAAACACATATAATGTTAGTAGCCTTTTTGCGTTCGTGAAATTAGTTGCAGCATCTCAGCGCAAAAGATAAGAAAAAAAATCTTTGTCAAGATTTGTTGACAGTTGGTAAACACCGACTCGGACTTGAAAGTGCACGAGCTGCACTATGCAAATGAGCTACTTATACGCGTCAGACTTTCCTTTCAAAAACTTTCGCAAACTCGCCAAACAAGCAGAAACAATAAGAGACCATCAAAAACAGGTTTTGGTTATGATTAAGCATTGTCTGAGAAACTCAGAAATTAATTCGATACCAGAGTAAAGATTTTTCTTGCTATATTCTTAAGTCAGAACAAACGCAAAAGCGTTCGCGTTAACCTTACAACTAGCGCGAGCAGATCTTAATATTCATTCAAGCGCTAAATTGAAGTCTTGTTTTCGACCCTGAAAAACGCCCCTTTTTCATTAGCTCAGAGCATAAAACTACATATAAGTGCCCTGGTTCTTAGTCCCTGCCTTATTCCCTGCCATCGCTATGAAAAATCCGCAAGAGAATCTCTCACCACTTGATCATGCAACGTAACAACATCCACGCGAAAACCCACGACATGTGCGTGGATCCGCGCGGATATACGTCGTCAGGATGGCGCAATTTGTGCTATAAAAATAGCACAATTGTCTCATATCATAGGTGCGCGCGAATCCCAAGACTTATAGCGGTCTCTGTCCCCGATTATGGCTCCTGTGAAAACTCGACACGAAAACAATTTAAAACTTTATAGCAATTAATGTTTTTCTTTTTCGTAGGTTTTAAGTTTGAAAAAATCACGATGATATAAAGTCAAAAAATCAGACAAAGTACCTTCATCGCTGCAATTTTTGGCGAAAACAGGCGTCTTGGCTTTTCCAGCGCAATACAATTTGTCGTTGGTTTTTGAGGTTGCCGTAGAGACCGAGAGTGACATTTTTTTAAATTGGTATTGACCGCAGTCTAGATTTTCCTATCTAGATCGACCAGCATCTAGACCACTCTACCTTTAACATTCGATGTGAGAAATACGTGTTCTTGAAATTTTTGTTTGGCCATATAATAAAAATTTTATTAACCGAGCTTGGACGATCTGTTTGGGAGAATCTAGAGCTCGGTTGTGATTAGAGACCTCACTGCGTTCGGTCTGCACTCACAACGTCGGTTAAGACTCTCCCATACAGACCTCCCGCTCGGCTAATAAGAGCTAATGTATATTTTTGCACCGTCTTCGTTTGGAAAACAATAGTTTCAAAAGCCTTGCAAGAGTTCCTTTTCACCAACTTAACTAGCAAACCTCGGGCTTTTCTTTACAATTAGGTTCCTATTCACTGACTCAATGTTCGAACCTCGGGCGGTATGGAAATATTCTGCTCTATGTTTAGGTGTCATTTTGCACTTCCTCGATTCTTTCCATCTTTGGTAAGATTTTGATACAGGTCTTAATTATCCAGACAAATTAGACTTATTCGCCAACAAATTAGGCTTATTCACGAGTCCATCCCAAACGCAGATACACTAATTTACGTTTTTTAAACGGAGAAGAACTTGCCTCAAAAACTAAAGAATTTAAAGGAAGACACCTCTCTCAAGGTTTTATTTTTAAGAGTTCGCCCATTGAGACAATCCAGAAATTTTTCTAAAATCGTGTTTCATCGCTTTGTTTTTCGTTTGTAATTTGTCAGTTCAATTTCAAAACTTAATAAAAACAGTTAACCCCCGAATAGAGATTAAACTGACAAAAAACATCCACCATCCGTGTCTCCAATTTGAAAAAGTACAAAGAAACTCTTGTCGCTTTCCATTCGACCAGAAATTCCCAACTGAATTTCTCCGCATGTTCTAGGCTTTTCGGAATCCAAGACATCGCATAGGCTTTTGTAAAGCTTTTAATTGGAATGAAGTCTTCATTTATTTATGGGGTCATGGTCATAACCAAGTTTATACACAGCATAGTATGATGAAATATTTATTAAAACTGACTCCTGAGTGCCTTGTGGAAGATGCCTGCCGATGCAAGCAACTGAGTGAAGCTCTCTGCCACTAGGGGACTGATAAAAAATTATTCCGCTTTTACAATATTTTACCATTTCTCAGGAATGAATGCATTGGAAGCTGGCGCTTGTATCATTATAACATTCTAATAATCTGCCCCAAGCCAAATGTGAATCAAACCTTCACACCTTTTAAAATTTCCAAGCAAAGGCCACGAATTAAAGCACATCTTTTCCTACCAATTAGGTTCCTATTCACTGACTCAATTTTCGACCCTTGGGCATTATGGAAAGATTCTGCTCCATGTTCAGTTGTCATTTGCACTTCCTCGCTAGTTTCCATCGTTGGCGGGTAAGCCTTTGATATAGGTCTTAATCATCCAGACAAATTAGATTTTGATCCAGGTCTTAATCATCCAGGAAAACTAGACTTATTCACCAACAAATTAGACTTGTTCACGAGTCAATCCAAAACGAAGATGCGTTAATTTAGGTTTTTTTTAACAGCGAAGACTAGTGTTAAAACACTGAAGAATCTAAACGAAGGCACCTCCCCCAAGGTTTTATTTTTAAGAGTTCTCCCATTGACACAGTTCAGAAATTTCTCGCGAATCGTAATTTTGTTTTATCGTTTTGTTTTTCGTTTCTAATTTGTTCAATTTCAAAACTAAATAAAAACAGTTTACCCACGAGATCTAAGACACGGAAGCCCAGATATATATATTTTTTTAAAAAACAATAATTTTAATAATAGTATAAAGGACGAGACCATGGACGTTCCACAAAAGCTCCAACTTTATTAAAGAGCTCCAACGACACCACACTGCCTAAGGTAACTAAAATAATCACTTTGTGGAATGGCAAGTCGTGAATAGTAACCGAAACTATTTTTAATTTCAAATACGGATAGAGATTATATTGAAAAAGGCAAGCCATTCACTATTTGTGTCTGCAATTTAAACAAGTACAAAGAAACTCTTGGTGCTTTCCTTACGACCAAACATTCCCAATTGAGTTTCCAGCAATTGTCAGTGGCGAACGCAGAACAGCATGTTCCAGGGTGGCCGCACAACCGACATCACGTAGGCTTTAATATAGCTGTTTATCGAAATGAAGTCCAGCTTCATTTAGTTATGATTCATGGCTATATCTACGTTTATACACAACATAGCATGATGAAATATTTATTAAAACTAACTCCTGAGTGCCTTACGAATGATGCGTGCCGATGCAAGCGACTGATTGAAGCCGTCTGTCACCAGGGGAATGATAAACACTAATTCCACTACCATTCATCAGGAAGGAAAAGCTGGCGCTTGTATCATTTCAAAACATACTAATAATCAGCCCGAGGTCAAATGTCAATCAAATCTTCACACCCTTTAAAATTTGCAAGAAAGTACCACTGCAAAAAAGATTTTGCAACGAATTAAAGTACATCTGTTCTTTACCAATTAGGTTCCTATTCAATGACTCAATTTTCAAACCTCGGGCGGTATGGAAAGGTTCTGCTTTATGTTGCAGGTGTCATTTGGCACTTCCTCGCTTCTTTCCCTCGTTGGTACGATTTTGATACAGATCTTAATTATCCAGACAAATAGAACTTATTCACCAACTAAAAAGTACGCGAGTCAATCCAAAACGCAGACGCGTTAAATTAATTATTTTTCTTTTAAAAGAAAGATTTCCGTTAAAGACTGAAGCATTTAAAGGAAGACCCCCCAGGTTTTACTTTTTAAAGTAAGATCATTGAAAATAATCCAGAAATTTCTTACGAGTCATTTTCTCGTTGTATTGTTGTGTTTTTCATTTTCAATTTCTTCAGTTTCAAAACTTTATGAAAACAATTTACCCACGAGATTTTGAAATTCGAAACCCCGACTGTTAGAAGGAAAACAATAATAATTTTAATTATTGAATAAAGACGAGACAGCGACACTCAACATTCAAGTAGCCTTATTTATGAAACTATTACCTGACCACGTCCCATAAAAGCCCTAACACTATTACAGAGGTCGAACCATACAGCACTGTTTGACATCCTATCTTCGCTTTGCTGTTAACGTTCGCTGTCTCATAGACAAGCTACTCTCGACTGATGGATGATATCGTTCTTCTTACAGATCTCGAGGAAAGACATAGTTTTTCTTTAACCTATATTCAAGAGACAAACATTAGAATAGGATGCATGGGCACAAGGACAAGACCTCCTTTTTCGAGGTTAAATGTGTGGAGACCACACGAGCAGGAGCCTGAGGCTTATGATGTGAGGGTTAATCTGGTTGACGCCATTGTCGAAGGCAAGTTTTATCCTATCTTTTTTAAGAAAGATATCTCGGTGTGAATAGCATAGGGAGTTTCAAAGTTCTTACTGTGATTGTTTCGACTAGGTAGTGTCAGTGCTTTCCTATTGCCGAACGACATACAGGAACCTGAGCTCTGGCAGTTGGAGCCACAAACACCAGTTCCAAAAGAACTAGTATTTACACTAACACCTGAAACAAGGGAAGTTACAATCAGACCACTTTTTAGAACAACCACTTACCAGCAGTTTCGGAAGGTATGTCTAACTGATGAACTAAATTGCATGAATGTAGATATCACGTTTCTTGTATGTAAACTGTATCGTTTGATTGCTTTTATTTCCCACTGAACTGAAAAGAAAAAAAAAAACCAAGACCGATTTCCAAATCTATATTCCTCTTAATAAAAGCTAACACACATAAAAAAATGAACAAAACAAAGCAAAATATTTCATATCAAGCCACTGTGGTCACCTTTCGTATAATGCAACAGAAACAACTTTCACGTTTGGAATTTTTATTTGCAATCTTCATTTAACGGCACTTGACACTGACATACTCGTTTACCGACGCAGATCGGGTACCGAGATTCATCACTCCCTCACC